TAATAATAATAATAATAATAATAATAATAATAATAATAATAATATAGCAGAATAGTACAAAAAACAAATGAGAAAGCAGTGTGTTTTGCTTTTTTAATGAATAACTGTTTTCTCTGCTTGAAATCTCACTAAAAGCATGCCTGATGTCATCTAAAGAACATATAAACAATCTGAGCAGGAAATAATAAGTGCAGGATAAATACTTTGTTTAGAACAGTCTTTTGGAACAAGGCAAAAAACCTGGTCAAATAAAAAGGTCTTGAAAGCTCATCAAAACCTGAAAAGGGAAGGAGCACAGAGGGAAAGATGCTGCAACCAAGGGAGAAAATCTAGTCCCCCAACCAAGTGTACATTTGAGAATGGTGGGATGAATAGCAAGGCCTCTGAGGGTGGGTAGAACCATCAGGGTGAAGGAACCTCAAAGATCATTTAGCCCAACCCCCTGCCAATCCAGGAAAATCAGTACTATGGCATCCAGAACAGATGGGCATTCAGCTTCTGCTTAAAAATTGCTGATGAAGGTTAGTGCAGTCAGTCCCACTATCAAACAGCTTGTACCATCTGGTTGTTTTTCCTAATGTTTAGTTTCAATTTTCTTGCAATTTACACCCATCATTTTGAGCCCTGCTCTTTGGAGCCATAGGACACAAACTTGCTGCACCATTTATGTGACTAGCTCTTCAAGGACTGGAAATGGCTATCATACTGACCAGTTTTTTATGTCATGGTAGCAATGGCACAAGCTTGTCTAACCAGGAATTACAGGGATGAGTGGAATGTTTGAGCAACATGCTTGTTTCTGCATCTTAGTTACAAGCCAAGAATGCCCCTCTGGGTTGTTTATAGGCTATCATTTTTTTTACTTTTTTCGTATCATGGAAAATCCACTGAGGGAAAAAAAGACAGAACTGTTGCATAAAGTCTTCTAATTCACAGTGGTAGTAGCTCTCTGTCTCCCTTGGCCTCTATGCTTGCTTACCTTCTCTTTAGGGGACATTTTAATTAGTCCTTATATGGGTAAAAGCCCATATCATTTAGGTTTTATAGGAAAAATAGTATAAATTGCACTTGAAATTGCATTAATGTCATATGTTAATTTCAGTTAATATGCTATTGCATATTAACTGAAATTAACTGAAAGCCGATGTAGATTACAGTATCAGAGTACTATGCTCCAAAAGACAAACTCCAGAAACAATGGTGTCCACCTTTTACTCTACTTTATGGACACTTTTTAAAGGCAGCTGTATATAAAGTGTGTTGTCGTACTCTAACTCTGGTACTCTAAGAGTTGCTGTGGGCTCACTAGCCACAGCTGAGCAAAAGCATTGCTGGTTACAGCTGCCTTTGGAACATTCAGAAACTAGACTGAGTCCAGGAGTACACCCAAACTGTAGACATGGTCCTTTAAGGGGAATGCCACCCCACCCAGAGGAGATGTACCCACCCCAGTTACCCTCTCTAATGAACAGCATTTTTGTCTTTTCTGTAAACTCAGTCCCACATGTAAGATGTTAACTTAAGGGCATGAGCCTGTAGGAAATATTCCAATGCTTACAGGAGCACTTTTCTTTCTCAATGTGTGATTCCAAATTATATTTAATTTTCCTCTTTATATTTTCTAGAGCTGAGCATTGGGGAAATGGGAGTTTGCCAAGTGTCAGCTCTAGTGGCTGCCTGCCTGCCTGCCTTGAGAAGAACCCTTTTTCATTTAGAATTCCTTTCCTTTGATCCCAGAAGTGTGCGAAAAGGCTTCTGGTTCCCTCTGGCTGGGCAAGAAATACACTTTGCACATGCTCACAGGAACTCAATGATGTAATAAAAATTAATTGGAAAAACCTCTATTATTATACTTAAGCGATGTGAGGGGAGAAATCTGTTACACTTACAATAAGATGTGGAGGGAGAATAGCTCTTGGGTAGGAGAGCAGGAGAAAGTCCATAGTGTCCAGGGACATTTTGCCTCCCCTTTCTTAAGTTTCCTGTGGAGGCTGACCCAGTCAGTATTAGGAGTCATAGGTGGTTTTTTCTTCAGTATAATAAATGTCCCCAAGTGTATAGTTTTCCCCCTAATGACTGGAAGAAAGTTGAATACAGGATTTATTACTGGAGGGGATCTGCCCTGATTATCACATCACCACAGCTTCCATCTGCATTTTCAGTTGCATTTGTAGCCCATTGTCTATATACAGGGAACCACTAAAAATCAAGGCAATGCCCCACCTGCTATGTTTTGTTTTGTTTTGCTTTGCTTTGCTTTTGGAGTGGGGCAGAATGTTAGAATCTGGGTGAAAGAGATTTTCAATGTGAGTTCTCTTGCTGAAAACAATTTTTCACCCAAAAGACAAGTCCTGCTTGTCACAAGCCCTTGTGCATATAAAATAGGTGAAACATTTCATAGCAAGCTTCTGTGCTTCACAGAACTCTGTCCTAGCATGAAGCGTGTACATTCTTCTGAAAACCTCATAGCTGGTCCAATGAAAGTTTTAATTTGAACAAATTGCACACCATGGCTCAACCCCAGAACCTTTCTTGAGCAACTGTCTTACCCTGGGCTTTTTCATTACCATGGAAGATGCCTTATTTTTCCTTGCTATTCAATAGGCACAACTTTGCACACCTAGGAATTGAAGAAATGGAGTCCAGGTCACAAGGCATGACTTCCAAACACTCTTCAACCAAGACAACTCGCACTTCCAGAAGATGGTACTAATTAACAGTTGTCATTGTTTATCTTCTTTGTCAGCACTATTATCTTTTGAGTCTCATTGCTGGACTTTGATTTAGGGCTTCATAAAAAATAGCCATGTAACTATGAGGGACACAGAAAAAAGCCATGGGAAAATAAAAATGTCAATCAGGTGGTAATCCTATCTTTTCTCTTTTCAAATGGACTTGTGCACGGGATTTCAAGTTTGATAAAGACTGTTTTGTAGGAAGGCGTGACTTTAAACCATAGGGGGTGTGGCCTAAAGAAGGGGGTGATTGAATGGGGCAGGGGGCGTGGCTTGGTAACATCTGCTTGCCTTCTAGCTTGAAAAAACAGCTGGGAGAAAGTGTACGGGAGGAACGCGCGGTGTTCGAGCTGCAACCGTGAACGGGTTTGGTCACATTGGAGACCGCATCATCGGTCGCATCAGCGGAAAGGGAAGTCGGAGGGCGTGCACACCCGCTGCTCGGGCGGGCCCCTAAGCAAGCAAGCAAGGGGTGGAAGTAAAACCTCAGCTTTGGGCAGCCGATCTAGATCAGGGGCTGGCCTCCCCGTCCAGATTGTTTGGTGAGGCCGGCTTGTCTTTTACTCCATGCAATGCACTGCCTCCCTTAGCGCGATGCAGCGGGCCGGAGCAGCAGCAGCAGAACCTGGAGGAGGCGGAGGCGGCGGCGAGGCAGTTGCAGCCGCAGCGGCCTCATACCGGGTGTTGAGCCGCTTACTGGGCTATGGTGGGGCTGAATCAGCCGCAGCCGGGTTGGCACTTGGAGGAGCCGTCGGAGAAACTGCTGTTACTGTTACAGCTGCTGATCGAGGAAGGGCAGGCGGGCTGCGGGGCTCGCAGCTTTTGGTTTTTCGCCCTGGCGAAGCTGGAGAGCCGTCGGGGGTTTCCTCGGCCGCTTGTCTGCCGCCGCCTCCGCCTCCTCAACAGCCATCCGAGCTACTGTGCGCAAGGCACCGGTGCGCTTTCTTGGACGCACCGAAAGGCGAACCTGGAGGGGGACGATGCTGGAACGGAGCTGCTGGAGGCCTTCTTTTTCCTCCGGGGGCCGGCCTGGAGTTACAACTGGCCGCTTTGGGGTTACATCAGGCCCCTGCGACGGTCCCAGGAGGGCCGGGCAAGCCTCCCGCCGATTGTCCCTGCATGAGCCTCCTGCCTCCGCCGCCCCTAGCTCCGCCGCCCTCTTTGCCCTTGTTGCCCCCGGGGGAGGAGACTAGTGACGCTCTCCTGGTATTGGAAGCTCTTGGCCCCGAAGAGGATGAAGAGGAGGAGGTGGCAGCTACAGGGCAAGCAGAATCCTCCAATTCAGCGGGTATGGGGGGCAGTCGTGTTCAACTCCCCCGGGCAGCAGTCCCGGCTTCTGCTCCCGCTCCGGCAGGCCCGGTGCCCGCCGTCTCAACCAACCGCTGTAGCTCATCCGCCCCCTCCAGGAAAGGCTCCTTGAAGGTTCGCCTGAGCCGCCTTTTCCGCACCAAAAGCTGCAGTGGACCGTCCTGCAATCCCGCAGCCCCCACTGGTGCACGTCGAGGGGCCGGGGAGAGGGAGCTGCTGCAAGCCACTGCCACTCCAGCCACCTCAGGCACGGCAGGCAGCCTTCCGGATGTGTCCCAGCCTGGGTATCGGGAACAAGACACGGGCAGGTAAGAGACTAGAGGAAGGAGTACAAGGGGTTGTGAATGGGTGTGGAGAAGGGTCGAGGGCGATAGTGAGGAGGCCCATCATAGGTGCTGGGTGAGTGCCACACGGTTAGTTGGGTTTCTTTGAAGCTGTGTTTGGACTAGTGGGTTCTTGGGTATCCTGTGACCATGAATCCAGGTGGGAAGGTTTATCATTAGATTGAGCCTGTGAAGGACAGGGCCTAGGCCAGCCTTCTCTAAGCAGGTACCCATCAGAGGTGTTGGACGACAACTCACATTTCCAGCCAGCAGCATGGTCCTGCTATTTAAGAATGATGGAGGCTGGGGCACCTGATCAAAGGAGGCTGTCCTGAACTCTACCTGATTTGAGAGGGTTTGGCACCGGGTTTTCTTGAGCATGGGCTATAAAAGGGCAAGAGAAGATGTGCTGTTTGTCCTTGATCCTTCTGGCTTCCAGTCTGAATTCAAATGAACCCATTCCTCACCTTCTGCAGCCTCTGTTGCAGAGGGCATGCTCTGAATGCCGGTGGTTCCAGGCATGCTCACACTTGGTGACATTTCTGGTTGAAAGGTTTGTATAGCAATTGGTAGCAAAGAGTTTCTTCCTGAGTCCCTGGAGAGTCACTGTCCAGAGTGGATGGCTCTGGGACAGATGAATCTGGCCTGTTGTAAGGCAGTTTCCTGAGTTCCACTTGGTCTCCAAGTCTTGAATCCCAAAAGGAGGATTCCGCTGCCATCTAGTATTCCTATGGTGGTGGCTAAAATCTGCTGATTTTGGAAAACAAAGGCTGTGAACTACTCAGGAAGGTGTAGAATTGAGAGGGTTTAAAGATTGGCTGTCCGTGGAAGACTGTGTAGGGATTTTCATAGATTTTCTAGGGCCCTAATGGGAAACCTTTTCAAAAACTGTATTCTTTTCAAAAACTGAAAACCTAGGCCATGGAAAGCTAGAAGGCAGGTCAGGGTCTACTTGGTGTTTTGCAGTAGATTGGCAAGAGTTTCTGATCCTCTTAATCATCTAATAATAGTAACAACTAAAAGCGTTTCTCTTGCTAAATTAAGTTGCTGGAAAAGAACACTTCAGAGTAGGTATTTTTGTGGGCTAAGTTCTGGTACTGATCATAAATTCTTGGGTTGAGCATTTGCGCAGAGGCATCCTTTCCTTAATTCGGGGTCTAATTGGTGGATCTTAGGGTTTTGTTTACAAACCATAACTAGATCCTCCAAGCCTGAAATCTGTCTTCCTCTGCCACTGGCTGGAAGTCAGGAATTTTACAATGCCTAGTGGATTCATTATTGTTAACTATTATTGAATGAAGTGATCAAGAGTAGATTCTCTTATATTGGAGGCCTAGCACTGTGGTTTTCAGTTGTGGTGGGGTTAGGATTATATTCTCCAGTGTTTTTACATGTCAGAATAAGGATACTTTCAGTATTTAATTCTCCTAGCCCTTAAAAGTCATTGACCTGGTTTGCACATAACAGCAGTCCGGAGTGTGGGTTGAGTGCAGGTTGTTGCTGAATGATAGGTTCACACATACTGTGAACCTAGATGTTGTTAACTATGAATAATCAAGGGTTTACAACACAACAACAAACCATGGGCTCTCTTCCTGGGTGGTTCATTGTTATTCACCAATACTTAAACCATAGTGTATGGTTTATAACAACCCACACTTCATCAACAATCTGTACTCAGCCCATACGCTGGGTTCTTCTATGCATGCCAAGCCATTGTGCTACTATTCTGGGTTTTTCTCCTTAACAGATTTTTTTCCTAGTAGGAAAAAAGCTAGAAAATGCTTGGAAAACACAGGAGGATTATCAGTGTAAAATCCTCTGTAAAGTTCCATCTGGGTCTCCTGTAAAATTTCGCAAACAAGACAAGGGAATTGCTTAGCAAAAGACTCATCTGGAAGCACTCCTAGTTGTAAATGGTGGTTTCTGGTGTAGTGCATTTTCCAGCTCTTGAGGCCTAGCAGTTGTGGTTTAATTTGATGGAAATGAGAATTTAGGGAGTATTGCATGATGACAGGTTGCTGAGTTGTAGGAGTTTTTTAAAAAAATTATTTCCCCCCTGCTGCAGAATCTTGATGCACTGTCTGAGATCTGCTAAGAACTGTAGTCCAACATATTTGGAAGGTTGCCTTAAGAAAAATCTTGAAGTTGGTTAGGCTAATGGACTTTGTCTTGCTCATGGCCAGGCAGTGAATGAGTATTTGACCTTTATCTCATACACTAAAATCTAATACTGTATGCTCCATACTGCATCGGTGCATGAGTCTTAAGTTCTCATTTGTAAGAGGTTAATTAGTTAATGTTGGTGCTGAATGTTCTCCAAGATCTGTTCTTTCCTAGCTCTTTTGCATGCCGAATGTTTTAGAGACCTCCAGGGAAGGATTCTGGGTATCAGGGCTAGGGAAGACCTCTGTATGAAAACTCCTGCTGGTAAAATAGAAGAGACTGGGCTAGATGGACCAGAGGTCTGGCTTGGACAGATTCATGTGTTCACAAAAGCTCTGCAGGCCTGATAAATTGCCAGGGGTTCAGTCTTGCACATGTGCTGCACTGGTGGTCCTTGGGCATGGTCCAGAAATGTGCTCAAGCTAAGTAGGTTTGATTTTGGTCAATTCCTGGATTGGACTGGCAGACTCAGGAAAATCTTGTGTATGTCACCTTGTCAAGTTCTAAAGGAACAAGATTAGGATACAAATTTATTTATTTCTCTACCACCCCACAGCTGAAGCTCTTTGATTCACACAGCCCATAAAAACAGATGATAAATATGCAATTAAAATATCAATTTTATTGGAAAAGTAAAAGTCTTAAACAGCTAAAAACAGATAATAAAGCCAGACAATAACAAGGAATAAAAAGAGTGATTCTGCAAAACACCTGAATCAATAGGTATACAACCAGCCTTGTGGATTATGTATCCTCACAGGCAAAAGCCAAAGGGTGGGGGGCAGGAGATATTAGTGTATACTGAAGTTGAAACATAGCAAGTAGGAAGGGGCCTCTCAGTCTGTTAGTACAATTTTTGTCCTTTTTTGGTCATTATGAAGGTTGTGAAGGTTCCCCATTTTGACTCTTCCAATAATTCAGCAAACATAGGAATGGTACATTACAGTTTAACAGTGGTCAGGTAATTGGTCTGGGATTGGAGGCCTAGGGTGTCTGGATAATATTGGTAGATTTTCTGGTGACAGTGACTCAAGTTCGAAGGGAGTGTGATGTGTTTTCTGCTAATGAAAGCAGGTCTGGGGTGATGTTTGTGGTGTGCAAAAAAGGCCTAGAACTTTCATTATGTAAACAGTCACTTACTTGAAATCCTAGAAAAAAATGTATGTGTTGAGGCAAGTACTAGATTATCTGTATAAAAGTTTACCTGTGGCACGAAGCAGTACATGTTCTTGAAAATCAAACCTTAAATTCTGTACCTGGAGTAACCCAAATTCTGAACCAGGAGAAGTGGATTAATTCAGTCACAGTAATTTAATTCAGTCACACTTAATTAACTGTTCACTTCATACTGTCAGTTGTAGTGTGCTTATTGTACAGTAGTATAGTTCAATACACAAAAGAGGAAATATTCTAAAATCCTGGGTAGCCATGTTTGTCCACTGGGGGTAAAAAACAACTCAGAGTTATGCTATACCAGGGTAGGTAGTGTGGAGGGCCATGGGCATCAGTGTACCCTAGACACCTTTTTTAGCTCCCACCAAAGTGTCCTATCCCTATACTGGAAAAAAAAAACACATTTTTGTTTGCAGCTAGGATTGCTGTGAGATATGCTTCTATTTGTGCTGAAAATGGCAGATTTAAAGGAGTTGCTTAGGGTGCTAGGGCTCAAACTCCATCTTTGCCTTGTACTCATTCGTTTGGGCAGGTAACTTCACTAGTGACTAGCCATGCCTCCATGGCAGCCATTTTGTGGTAGTGTTCTGGAGAGTTTCTCAAATTGTCAAATATATCCATGACCCAAAAATATTGCCCTGCCCTGGGCTATACCTTTGTGGGGAGAAACCAGAACAGTACAAAGTTGTGAGCAAGAAGTAGAGCTGTCTAGATCTCTTCATCAAGCTCAATGCTAAACAAGAGTAGGAGAAGAAAACAGGCACTTTGTCAAAAGACCCAACGCTTGTGGTTTGGGAAGTGTTAGTGTAGAAAAAATGGGAGCATGGATGCATGGTAATGAGTTCCCTTGGCTGTTAATGCAGGTGCATTGTTTAAGTTGAAGATAGTAGAAAACCAGAACTAAGGGAAGAAAGGGGGGTCTAATTCAGGTCAGGGTTGGCCTTACTATTGTGAAGAATAAAGCAGCGCCTCAGGGAGCTGATTTTGGATAATATGAAAGGGCAGCAAATTATGTTATTTATTGTTGTGTTTTTGCTGCCAGGAAATGTGCTTGTGGGAATTTCTGCCTCAGGTGCCAAAATACATTGGCCAGCCATATGTATTTATTTGAAATCTTCCTGTACTGCCTTTGTGAAGCCAATAATGGTGGTTCATGATATTCAGATACTGAAACAAAGCTTCCCTCCCCTTCCCCACAAAAAAGAAACCAGTAACCAGCAAACCACAGGAATAAAGCTCAGGCAGGTGGAAGGTCTCTTCAGGAGGTGATGGCATGAGCTCTCCTCCCTGGGCTTTCCTTCTTTTCTCTTCCCTGGGTGGTGGGGGATACAGGGCTCAGGTGGCCCAGGGAAGTGTGGGGGGGGGGGGCTGCTGCCCCAAGAGTCCTTTCAGGTCATTGATGCTTCCATTAGGACAGGGGTCTCAAACTCGCAGCCCGCGGGCCAATTGCCGGGACGGACGGGGCACGGGGGAGGGGCCCTGCGGCCTTCAAAGCGCCAGCGGCGCCCGGGCCGGCCACGGGATGAGCGGCCCACCACCACCGCAGTGGTGGAATACTTGCTGCGGCCCGGCCTCACCCAGACTCTACTTCCAGCGGCCCCCAGGTAAGTTGAGTTTGAGACCCCTGCATTAGGAGCTGAAAGCATGAGCCATCTAGCCTGGGCTTCTCTTCCCTATTCTCTCAGGACAAAACTATCCAGGGAAGTACCTTCACTACTGTGTGCTTTGGGCAGAGTTGGCTGTTCACCTCAGGCAGAGGTACTGGACCTGTGGCAGAAGTTGTTGGGCGTTCAGAAGGCGTGGGATGCCATAGAAAAGTAGCTACTGGGAAACTCTAGATGTGCTTATATACACTGATATTCTGTCTGAAGCAGGACTCCTCAGAGTGGTTAGACTGGAAAGGTCTGGATTGATATCACGGTTCACACAGGAAGGCTGATTGGGTGACCTTGAGCCAGTCATTCTAACAGAGGTGATAAACTGTTTGGTTTATTTGAATCCACATTGGAGATAGACTTGCATAATGGAGTGCTTCTTGGTGATTTTACAGAAATCCCCCAAGCTCACCTTTGCAATGTGACCCTCAATGTGGTATTGTTACTTAGCTCTAGAGATAGTCATATGCCTAGAGTTCAGACTGGCTTGTTCACAGACATAGATGTTCTTGTACATCAGAGAACTGTGTTTCTTCTTCCATTTTTACTTCCTTTCGTGGCCGTTGATGTGTCATTGATGGCTTATATGAGTATGGTGTGGGTAAGCAAGCTGCTAAAAACTTAAATGACAGGTAATTATTTGCAAGGCTTGATATAAGGAAAAAAACCCTTACAGGGTAATCAGTTTGACCCTAAAAGTTCTTATAGCCTATAAGAGAAGATGTTGGGGTATCAATATTTCTGAAGAATCCCACTCTTTCTTCTTGGATACTAGCTTAAATCCTTTGAAGAACTGAATTTAAAAAATGCCATGGTGAGGTCTAGAAACTTGGTTGCATTTTAGTTCTTAAATCAAGAGGGTGGGAGCCTGATGAAGGAACACACTTCTAATAGCTGCTGCACATTTTTTCCCTGTCAGAGGTACAGTTCATTCGTGCAGAGAAAACAGTTATTTGTAAGAGTCACGCTTGTTCAATCTGCGTGGAGAATGATTGAATGAACTGGAGTATTGGGTTCTTATTTACTTGAAACATTTACACCCTCCTACAGTTCCAAGAAACAGTGTTGATCACAAGACAGAAGTAGATCTGAAGCAGAGACTCTTGGGTGTGTGGGAGAAAGAACAGACCTTCTTGAGAGGTGAATAGACACCCAGCATTATCTTATTTACAGGCTCATCTGTCCATCTTTTTGTAGAAAACCAAGATTGATGCGAACACAAAGTGCCTTTTCTCCAGTTGCTTTTGGTCCCCTCTTCACAGGTGAGTTTTAAATCTGATTTGTTTCCTTCCATGAAGGAAGCATTTATGGCTACCTTAATCTGTATATGTAACATGTTGCCATTAGTGTTTTTAAATTCTGGTCTCTGTCACACATGTGCATGCATGAAGGCACACACAGACAGGGATAGATCTCTCTAGAATGGTAAATAGAATTCTTTGTAGCAGTCTTTCTCACCTTTGTACCTTACAACCCCCATCATCCCCAGCCAGCATGGTCAAGACCTTAAGAGAGTTCTCACCTGAACACACCAGATGGGGGTGTGTGGTAAACTGAATTAGTTTTACTGTGTGACCAAATACACTTTAAATATAGCAGTCTCTATAGCTATCCTTAAGCTCTGGGTTAGATCTCTCTTCCCTTTTATCCACAAGACTTACCGTGGTCAAACTCAATTATTGTTGCTTACTTCATTATTTTCATGAATCATTTACTAATAGCAATAATTTGTGTGTTTGTATTGCCTTTTCATAAAATCCACTAAGGCAGTATACAACTGCTCAAAACAATAACCTTTAAACCAACTATATTTAAGCAGCTATTTAAAAGACAAAGACAGAATGTTGCCTTCGTCTTCTCTAATGGCAAGAGAGGTTTGGCTGTTACTGTTCCAGCATCTAAACTCAAACTTCCCAACTCCCTATGAGGATTAGTGTATACTTTCTGAGTAACTTGGATGAGAGAACAAAGACATTAATGCCAGGTTAGATAAGATTAAATGGAATCCATCAGATGAAACATAACAGTATTAACCGCAGTGTTAGTTATTTCAGAAAGGAACTGACCACAGAATTGCAGTGAAAGAAATGCAGAACAGCAAAATGTTAATTCTGATATTTGATACATTCCCCTAAATGATATAATAGCAGCTAGGTTCCATTTATGTGGCTACAGAGAGTCTGTAATGAAAGGCAGTAGTTCTGAGTTGAAAATTAAAAGTGCATCTTTGCCTCCTGGCAGAAAATAGAGTTGGGAATCTAGGGAGCATGCACTAACTGCAGGATGAACATATCCCCTGCCCCAGTGGAAGAGTAGGAGTACAATCCCATGTATGGCTGCTCAGAAGTAAGGCCCTTTATGTTTCATGGAGCCTATTCCCAGGAAAGTAGATCTAAGATTACAGTCTGGGCTGTGTATTTATGAGGGGTGTGCAAATCAACAAAGCCTGAACCTCTCCAGATTTTACCTTGAATTTGTTTTTGACTAGTGACCATATTAGGTATTTTGAGGCTTTTTTTTACCATTTGTGTATGCATCAATTCTGTGCATTTTTGAAATGTATACTTTTCTCCCATTGATTAAACTTTCTGTTTACCCTTCTAATGCATGTTCTTCAGACGTGGCCGTTTTAGTTATATTTTTCTTCTATGAAACTGAAATGTATGGGCTTTGGCATTTGGGTCTGTGTGAATTGGGTGAATTCTGTTTTTTAATAAATGAACTGAAACCAACAAAATTAATTCTAAATATTCATCCCAAATATTACCAGGACTATGACTATGAAATGGATGCAGAAGCATAACCTGATTCATTCCTGGCTTCAGTTATGGGTCAGGGCATGTCTGTGCAGGTCTGTTTCAGTGACTGGGGTGGAATAGATCAACAGGGAGTATTTACATAACACTGACTTTTGAATGAATGCAGGATGGCTCATTCAGATACAGTCTAACAGAAGACTATGTTTAATCTCTAATGACTTGCATTCCTAACTATGCATTTTGGGATGCTTCTCCCAACTTCTTAGGTGTATTATTGGTGAAGTGAGGAGATGCAGTCTCTATCTTTCCCTTATTTAGATAAAACAGGAGCTAAAGATCCTGCAGCAACTAGAAAGTTGCAGTGAAAAGGGAGTGATAGATCTAGATGGAACCCCACAGTTTAGGGTACAATCCTTAGCATGTTTTGATAGAAAAAGTCCTGCAATTCTGGGAGGTGTAGCCATTTCTTTTTAATCTTAAATAGGCTTGCACCCTTAGATTCTCAGATTTGACTACCCAGGGATTAACATTTGTTGGTTTATGCTTGCTTTACCCAAAGAATATCAGTGCTTTTGGGGATGGTGTTGACAAATCAATCTTCCGTTAAAGGATAAACTTCTCTTCCATGAAGACTTGTCCTGAAATGAGATGTTGCTTATTTTTTCATAACTTCATGGAATTTTGTGATTTCCCTTCCCCCATTCTAAAAAGTTTGAATTCCTCTCCTGAGGCATAATTATTGGCAGTAAGTGCTTTAAGGTAAAGTGTGTTGGTATTTGGGGTGGGGGGAGAGATTTGGCCATGGCCCTTTTTCCTTCAGTCCTGCCCACCCCTGGATTGCAGCCTCTGAGACCTTCTTTAAAAGGGAATACATCCCTTGACCTGAAAGACATGCTGCACTGCTGCCTTAACCGATGAATTTGGAGACAGGGTGTAATGCTAGAAAAGTAAGAGAGAGGCATTCTGCATATGGTCAGGGGAACTTTTCCATATTCCTTCACATAATTGAATATTTGGACTAAGTATTAAAAATACATTCTGAGTCCCAGCACAAATTAGGTCCTCCTTTAATTTAAAGTGTGGGTGCATTTCTGTAATCTATACTGTTGGAGATTTCACTATATTGGTATGTCTTGAAGTATTCTCAGAGGTCAGGAATGGAAACTGGTTGCAGTTGGTCACTGGCAAGCAGAATGGGACTCTACGCTTGTTCGTTCATTTTTATTTTCTGAGCTGGCATTTCTGTACCTCCTGTCATCCCTAAAAGTGATTATAAAATGAAGTATCACAAAAACAATAATTAACAATATCACAATCTCAGTTTCACATTAGAAACCATTAGGAGATGGTCTTTAGATACTCTAGCTTTAAGCAATTAATTGCTAAGTAATTAATTGCAATTAATTGCACCTTGAATTGGACCCAAAACAAACGAGGCCAAAGTAATTGATATTAAGATCAGTGTAATATGCTCTAAAAATACACACTAGTAAACACTCTGGCTGCTGGATTTTGTACCAGTTATCATTTCCAGATGCTCTCAATAGAAGCCCCATGTAGAACATGTTGCAGGTGACTAATCAGGTGATGGCCAAGGCAGTCATCAGTGTGGCCAGATTTTTAAAGGGACTTGAATGAGTTGTTCCTAGGTCTGAGCGCACAACATTAAAAAATACCTTCTGGGGGTAGAGTCCTAGATGAAGTCCTTCTGGTACTTGGGAAAGTTGCTGGCACTAATGCTTTCATTTTTCTTCATTTCTCCAGGTGAGACAGTGTCACTGGTGGATGTGGATATCTCTCAGCGTGGTTTAACGTCCCCGCACCCCCCGACGCCCCCACCTCCGCCACGGCGAAGCCTCAGCCTTCTGGGTACTGCTTGCCTCCCTTTTGCAAAACCTCACATTTCTTCCAGCATCTTTCCTGAGGAATAAGTCCTAACCATTTCTCCTATCCTCTACTTTGTGCTTTTATTTTAAGAGGTCAAACCCTCTTGGAACCATTTGCATAACATTTGGTAGTTTTCACATTCTTTGGCCAAAAAGAGAACTTTGTGAGGAAACAACCTTGCTGTTTTCTGTCCTGAATGCACCAATCTTCTTCCTCCCTCTCCCACCCCTGAATTCTGTGCCAAGTCAAACTCAGAGCCAAATTCTACAGGTTGTCAAACATTTTGCAATTTTGTGTGTTTTGCTTCAGCTACATGTGGGGAAGGATAAGGAGTCATGTAGAAGATTGACATCTCTGTCCCTGCACCCTTGGAATTCCATCTCATACTTTTCCTGAGTTTCTACCTAACCATTGCCCATGTCTGCCTTGAAAAGGAAATCTGTAATCACAGTCAGAAGGTCTAGAAACCTACTTTTATAAAGTGAACTGGTTAATGGTTTCTGTAACCTTATTCTATGTATCCATATGTAGAAGCAAGTCCATATCTGAGCGTATGTTGCTGCCTGACACTAACCATTGTTGACCTAGTCCAGTGTTGCTGCAACATTAACTGTATGTTGCCTGTAACTTGCCTTGAATTGAAGACTCTTATTTGGATCCAAAGCACTTGTGTCTCTTTGAATGGGTTAACATCACACACAGCTGTCTTGGGCATTGGAACTTTCCTTGAAGGATTTTACAGCATGAAATATATTTAAATTTAGCTATAATTGGGCATTAATAATTGTTCTGCATACCTTTAGTTCTCCTTGAATTTCATTCTGTCTATGCGTCTGAATAAACAGAAAGTGGGGATGGCACCAAGCCAGTGAAGGTTTTAGTACTGTCTTTCCTGACTTGGGGCCCTCTGGATGTGTTGGACAACAACGAAACCTCAGCTGTCTGGGGATGATAGGAAATGTAGCCTTGCATACTGTGGGGCACACAGTTGTAGAATGCTGTTCTACAGGCGTAGAGGAAACTTGTTGAATTGGGTAGAATTGTACTGGATGTTACAAGAGATGCCAAACTCAGTGCTGTGGGTCTTCCTTCTCCCTCCACTTTAACTCCTTGGTCTAAATAATGGATATGATGAAGTCATCTCATTGTTCCACCTCCACTTTATGCCTCTGGCTTTTGGGAATGGGTTATTATGCAGCATGATGATATAACATATATTCTACAAACAAGAGTGCTGGAGTAGAGGCATGAGATGGTGGCAGCATTGTGTCTAATGTTTAGCTAAACCTGCTGTGCATTTCAACCTAAAAAATCATTTATGCAAATACGGTGTGTCTGGCTTGTATTATGCATGGACCCAGTTAACATGATACTGCTGATACATTGTGGATTATTTAACCCATGATTAGCCCAGTGTGTGCTACAGCTCTTTTGATAGTGAAATTAGGCCTATTGGAAGTTGCACAGTGTCAGTCATTGTGGGTTACTCAAGGGTTAAATAGCACTTGCTTAACGCAGTATATGCAGTAAGGGTCAAATGAGAGGTATTTAACCCTCAAATAACAGATAGTGACTGGGTTCAGATGACATGGGGCAAGTGGGAGTTGTACAGTCAAAATGATGGCTGCACAGTACAGCTTGTTGTGGATTAAATAACCCATAATGAGACAGCTGTGTTATATGAACTAGTTCATCATTTGTCAAGCCAGATGTAAAAAAAGATCTGTTTGCTCTGGCTTGACAGGTACTTCAGAGCTCTCCCCCCCCCTTTTTTTTCCTGTCCAAGTAGGCAGCAAATTCAGATTTTTATTGAGACCCCAATGGGCTACCATGAATGTTTTAGCATCACAGGTTCCATATTGGATGCACATGCTGTATGTCAAATGTAGCTCTGTTAAAGAGCTTTCAATTCTTTATGACCCCCTTAAACACAAACTGCCCTACATATATAGGTTCGTTTAATCCACAAATTGAAATATGAATGTATGCATCCTGTTTCATTGACATCACTGTGTGTATTTGAAATCTGGGCACATCTTTGAGGCTATCAGATGCAGTTGCTTGTATTAAACTAAGAAGAAATGTTCCAAGGACAATTGGCTTCTGGACATCCAAATTTATCCATATCTAAGACCTTCAGTGATTGTGGCTATGTTGCTGTTTCTTTCAGAGATTTTTTAAACAAAACTTTCTAAAACCATAGCTTTTATTCTTAACACACCCGATATCTGATGCTTTATAATTTATACAGTCAACAAAAAACTCTTCAATAGGTATGTTATAGACACACATTTTTATTAATGTAGAAGACTACCAAGAAGTGTGTTTGGTGCTCAGAGAAAGGAATCCTACTGTGAGCCTATCTTTTTGCCCTGTTATTTTATACTTCCTGGACCTTTCAATTTTTTTGTTCTTCTTCTAGACGATATCAGTGGGACACTGCCTACATCTGTCTTAGTGGGTCCGATGGGGTCTTCGTCCCTCCAGTCTTTTCCTCTGCCTCCGCCGCCTCCACCGCACGCCCCTGGTCAGTTTAGTTTTGATCCTCAAGGTTTCCAAAATTTCCATTGTAAAATTTCCCTGAGCTTCTTTTAATTTAAAGATTTGGATTTTTGGGCTTAAGGCGGTGTGCAAGAAATGCAGCAAAGCTAAAACCAGTCCACAAAAATGACATGATTATGTGTGCACACAACAGATTGTTCTATGTCTCTTGGTCATGCTTGGCTTTCAAGGTGGCGAGTATGCATTGGACGCCCCAGAGCAACATGCACAGAATTTCCTTGCTTCTCTCTTGACTCCACACCCCTTGCAAAACTCTTTGCAACTTTTGCTTGACCTGATTCTTGCATACATGCTTATGGTGGTTCTGCTTGACTTTTACAAGATGCTTTTATGAAACCACATCTATTGAACTGGTAATAATATCAGTTATATTGGGGGATATTTTAAATTGCAATTGATGGTATATACGGTACAGTATAGTACATGACCTTGGGAGGTTTAAAAAAAACCAAAACCTGGGATGGTCTTGTAGGTAGTGTTGCTCTTGGTGCAGAAGATCAAACTGAATTAGACTGGATAACTATATCACCCTCATACTGGGGTCATAATTATCTGGATTGGAGGCATAGAGTTCTTGCCCTCATCTTAGCTGTACCTCTGCAGCTGCAGCTTTGACCTCCCATCAAAGTGATGAATCCTATATGCTTCTAAATGCAGCTTGTTGTGCTGATGGGTGGCATGCTTGGTATATCAATTAAAAGAATTAGGCAAATTTATTAGGAATATCAAAATCTACTTTTCCTCTTAGGAGTGGTTGCTAAATATACAGTGTTCTTACTGCTTCCAGAATATAGAAAAACTTGGGATCATACAGGTTTCTATGGAGATTTTAAATATGCTGGGATCTAGAGCAGGTCCAAAGTAATCCTTGTGTAGCTTTGTTGTGTCACATGGCCAACTCATTGCAAAGTCAATAAACTCTTCTGGAAAGTTAGCACTTGTTTTCTGAGAATAACTTGGATTGATATTTCTAACTTATCAGGAACTTAAATTATGTAGTGACCTTCCTTCCCAAGAATATATTATTCACTAACCAAGGGAAAATAGAAGGGATTGAATAAGGATGTCACATAACCGTGAATAAGTGTTTATACATGTTATTACCTCTTCAAATCCTTGTGAGACAATGGAGTAGAAATCAAAATAACACTCAAGAATTGAGCCTTGTGTGAAAATGGTCTGGGTAGCAGTTCTTTGGCTTGGATATCTTCCAGATCGGATTTCAGGTGCTGCTCTTGGGTAGAAATGCAGTCATTGTGAACTCCAGGTTTTTGAAGACAGGTGGGGAAGGTGCACTACATAGCCCCCTTGAATCGAAGGCCATTTCTCACTGCTGTTGTCACTTGCTGCTTTGGTTCCTCTTCTTTCTCCTAATTGCTCCCACTTGCGCCACTGGGGCCAGCACAGGGGAGAGCCAGTGAGTAGATAGGAAGAGGCATTTACTGAATGCCCTTCTCACTGCTGCTCTTGTTTGGATCAGAGTGAGAGGCAGGTTGCAATGAAGAAGAGGTGAGGCAGCACTGGGGGTGGGGGTGGGGGGTCTTGTCTGTGAGTTTCTCTTAGAGCATAGCCCCTCCATGCCTACCCTGGATACCAGCTCTATATGTAGTGGCTCATTCTCACAATTAAATGTTTCCCTCCTCATTTATAAAAAGGAAATGCCCAATGAATTGTTTTGTGAATGCCTGGTTTTGACCAATTAAATTAATGCCCAAAATCAAAATGCAAGTTGAGCAGAAATGAAGAGCTGTTCCGTTTGTTGGTCAAGTGGGACAGTGGATCTTTTCGATCTTCCTGCTGCTAGTAGGAATGGCCAAGATCCGGCTGCTGGATCCTTCCCTTATCTCCCCACCTACTGTTGCCCACCACAGCTTTTACTTTCCTGCCCACCCTTGCTTCCACATATAGTTCTGCTTCCCCTTCCTCTGCATCCCTCTGAGATCTGTTTATGAAGCCTTTCTATCAAGGTATAGGTTAGGAGGTTTTATTCTGTAGTGGATTTCAAACTTAAGAAATACTCTGCCCAGGCAGTATCTTGAAACATGTTTTGCTAGCAGGTGAAGAAACCATTTTCATTGTATACAACAGTTCCTGACTGTTTGTTGATGTGAACGTCTACAGACCTAATATTTATGCTGCTTTTGAGCTACTTTTTATATGGTTGTATTTAAAGTTTCAGGTTACTTCATGGTAACATAAAAGTTACTTTATGGGTTTTGTATGTCATGTTGAGCATGGCTTTCTGTAGAAAAAGAAAGGTGGTTCATGATAATAGTAATAAGCACATTTATTTATACTTCCATTTATACGCTGCCTATTACTGTAAAGTTTTTCCCTATAGCCAAAAAACTCATTGTTCTCAGGTCAATGTGCCCCTATTTCTCCTCCCTCCCCTTGCTGTAACTTAAACTTCTAATAACTGAGAACTTTCTGATGACATTGCCCACTTAGCTCTCTGTGAAGTTGTTCAACCCCTGAACTCCTGGGGACTTCACTCCTGTTCCCACACTACCTACAAAAAACAAAAAAGCAGTTTTTCACTGAAATATACAGCAATTCAAAAGCTCCATGTTTGGTTTGAAAAGAAACTCAAATTAGCAGTCTTTTGTAACTAATAACTGAATTTGAGTAGTGTATTAGTAGGAGTGGAGACTGTACCCAAGGCCATGGGGGTTGAATGAGGCACATGGCTCACCTCTGACCTAGAAGAAAACAAGTGGGGAGGTGGTTATCATAGTATTAAGAGGGAAACGGCGGGTCAGTATAGGCACCAGTGCAGTACATACTGGACTACAATATATTAATATCTTGAATGGTTGCTGTTCAAGAGCTGCTTGTATTTTAAAGGTGGGCATTCTCCTAAACTGGGCTGTGGAAAAGGAGAAAAATGTGGTGGGAGGGACATGTGTATGGAAGGGTTTGTGTGCCAGTTTCAGTTCTGATGCTGAAAATGGATTGCTGAGTTGAGCACATGCTCAGATGCTCTCTTGATCTTCAGTTTTTGTCCTTCTGAGCCCCTCATTGTTTGTACCTGGTGGACCTCAGGTTTCTAGTGGAAAGGAAAGTAGATCCTGCTGTCCTGAAGTCTTCCAGCAGTGCTGTAAACTAATCTGCAAGGCCATGCTTCCAATAACTTAGCTCTATAAGGGGGGTGGTAAGCCTCTTTATTTACTCCGTAGTTTATAAAATAGGAACACATCCCCTGTGGAGAGCTGCTGCACAACTTCTTGTGTGCTATTCCTTATAATGTTAATTGGGTGACTGTTTGCCTCTGTTATTTCTCCTATCCCTTTTTAGATGCATTTCCCAGGATCATCCCAATCAGAGCTCCAGAAGCAGTACACAGCCAACCTGCACAGCACCTTCAGTGCCCCCTCTATCGGCCTGACTCAAGCAGTTTTGCAGCTAGCTTGCGGGAGCTAGAAAAAGTAAGATTTTTCAAAATATAATAAAGTTCAGTGGAGGTGCTTCTGTTCTGATAATGTTTACTGTACAGTGTAAGTATAACAGAGAAGCTAGATGGGATGAAATGGGTGATTCTCAGGAGCTTGTATGGCACCTATTGTATTGTCAGCACTATATTGTGTGGAAAATTAAAGCAGGATACATTATGTGTGGTCAAAATTATTTTATGTCATAAAACAAAGAACTACAATGTTTTCCATTTTAGGAAAGGGTTGCGGGGAGTTGCTGGAGCAGCTTCAGAGTGCTGTCTCAGCCAGCCTTGGCTAATCAGAAAAATGCTGTTCTGAAAATGGAGAGTTGTGTACTTGAAAGATCAAAGAGAATATGTACATACAAAGGGCAGTGGCTATAGCTTTACATCTGCAGTGAAAATGACCAAGATGTGCCATTGTCACCTGTTTGCATGGAATTGATTATAAAAATACAGATCCTTTTATAGGTTGCTGCCTGCATGCAGAACTGCCTTTGTGCAAAGTTACAGAGTATTTTTTAGAATCAAAACAGTTCCGTGCCTATTGACCATCTTCCTGTTTGTTCTCTTAGCAAATCATATCCTATGCCAATGTATTCCACTGTGTGAAGGCTTCTTTTGAACATTTTGCTTATGTTTCTAGTTAAAACTGCTAAATCAAACCTCTTCCTCTCTCCTCATCTCTATCTTTGGCACAGTGTGGTTGGTACTGGGGACCTATGAACTGGGAAGATGCTGAAATGAAGCTGAAAGGAAAACCAGATGGGTCCTTCCTGGTTCGTGATAGTTCTGATCCTCGGTATATCCTGAGCCTCAGTTTTCGGTCACAGGGTATTACCCATCACACTAGAATGGAGCATTACAGAGGTGAGCCTGATGGGCCAAGGGCATAAAGCTAGAATGGCTTCTTACTAACCTTGCAGAGAGTTAAATGGAGGCTAAGAAGTAACTGTTTATAGAAGATTACCCAATTAATCCATGATAGAGTCTCCCCTGGTGGCAATATTTAATTTACTATGCTGATTACCATTATTTTGATGTTTCTATATGTAGCCAGCACACTGTTTCACCCAGTTTTCCCCCCTTGTGACATGCATCTCTTTTTCTTGGCTCAGGAACCTTTAGTCTTTGGTGTCATCCCAAGTTTGAGGACCGCTGCCAGTCTGTGGTAGAATTCATCAAGCGTGCCATCATGCACTCTAAAAATGGAAAGTTCCTTTATTTCTTAAGATCCAGGGTCCCAGGTATGTGTTGGGTACCACTTAGATATTTGTATTGTGACAGTCATTAAGCACGCACAGTGGTATCTAATCATTTTCATTTTCTTCTGACAAATAATATCCATGCTCTTAAGAATAATGTCAGAATTATGTGACAGGCATTGAATGTTCCTGACTGGTTGTCTCTAGAATTATGAGACCTAGAAACTTGTTTTCTTAATTTAAGAGGGGTCAAACTTCAAGATGTTTTGTGTTTCCACATTGCCACAGGGGATAGTTCAAGTGAAAGGAGTATGAGGATAACTTTTCAGGATACTGTGTTTCAGGTTCATCTAGGGATCTGTATTGGCATTTTGCACAAGCAACAATCTAGACTTAAGATTTCCTGGGGCTGCTCAATCACTCACATGAATGGACTTTGAGAGAACTGAGCTCTCAGCTCTTTTCCAGTTTCTACAGCATCCCTGCTTAAGTGAACAGATGGAAAATACATTCATATCCCTTATGCTGAGTCAGATCCCTTGTTGATCTAGCTCAGTGCTGTCAGCTCGAGTGGTCTTGGAGGAAGAAGCGAATTAGGTCCTCTTAATGGGATGCTGAGGAATGAGCTTGGGCCTGCATGCAAAGGAGCTCTACCACTGGACTCTTCCACTGAGTTTATAACCCCTCTCAAAATGTACTGTGAATGTTACATTGCCTCACATGCAGTTCTTGGTCCATCTTGCCCAGGGGTGGGACTGTCTGCCCCTCCAGACATTACACTCCAGCTTCCATCATTGCTGACTATTAGCTATGCTAAGCTGATGGAAGTTGAAGTCCGACAACATCTGGATGGCTTCTCCAAATTCCTCATATATACTAGCAAGACTATGCAATTTGAGAGGCTGCATTTCCAAAACAGAACTTGAATCCCTCTGCTAGAAGGGTGCAGCATATTGGTGTGGGGAGGAGGTCACTGTCAGCATGCCCAAGAAGCTAGTTTTCCTTCATTTGGTATCTGGATGTGCACAGTAATCTAGCCTATGCTGAATGAAACCCTAAATGCCCTCAGCTCTTATGTGAAGCAAGCAAAGAACACAGACTTCTTCTTGCATTACATTCCTAATCCAGGGGTGCGTGGAGTCAAGTGTCCACAGGAGGCTGAGGCAGCCGTTGCCTTTATATGCGAGTGGTATGTCCTGGCAATAGTCAGAGCAGCTTCCAGTGTACACTCTTCTCCATGCTCCTGAAAAAGGTATTTCTCAGTTGCTCCTGTTGTGTCTTGCTCTAGGCTAACCAAGCATCCCCATTTCTTTATTCCCCCCATCCTTAAATTTGCAGGTCTCCCTCCAACACCTGTCCAGCTCCTCTATCCAGTCTCTCGGTTCAGCAACGTTAAATCGCTGCAGCACCTCTGCCGCTTCCGGATAAGGCAACTGGTCCGCATCGATCACATTCCAGAACTGCCACTTCCCAAGTAGGTGTTGCCTTGAGCCTTTGCTTTCTCTTAGCTCCTTTTAAAGCAATGCTGTGGTTAAAGGAATTGCTGCTGTTTCAACATCGTGTCCTCTAATAGTGAAATCAGGCACCAATCGCTTTTGAATATGGGTCATCCAACCAATACCCATCCGAGGTATGCAGAATTATCTGTATGTTTGTTGTTTGGGGGAGGCTTTACAAAGGTATAGGGAATGTTAAGAGAATGGTTTGCAGATGAGGGAGGAAAATGAAAAGGAAAGGAGACAATTGCCTTCCGCAAGCCTCTAAGAAGGGGTGGGAAACTTGTGGCTCTCCAGATGTTTTGGACTACAATTCCCATGCTCCCATCCAGTGTTATTTCACTCTTGGATATTCTGGCTAAGGGTGATGGAAGCTGTAGGTCCACAGGTTGCTCACCCCTTCCTTAACAGCTTATGGCAACCTTCTGCAACTTGGTGCCCTCCAGATGTGTTGGTCTGGGACTGCTGGCAGTTGAATACAGCTGGAAGACACCGGGTTGGGGGAGCTTGTCTGATCGTGTCCTTGATCAGCCTTCCCCAACCTAGTGGCCTTCAGAGGCATTTGGACCACAGCCCTCAGAATTCCCATCCAGCAGCGGCATTGACTGGGGATTCTGGGTGTTGCAGTCCAAATGTGTCTGGAAGGCATAAGGCTGGGGAAGGCTGCCCTAGAGGCAGGGATGCATGGCATACAGTCAGGCTGTTCATACACAGACCACACACAGGGAGGTTTTAGCAGGTTGGGAAGGACACCTTTACTTTTTCCAGCACTATCCAATAAGCATTGGTTACTTGGCTGGCAACATGGCACATTGCTTGCTCAGTGATGATAGGATCAGGCAAAGAGTTACCGTTATGAATTAAGGGATTGAAGACTGAACACAGCAATGAGAATCTTCATAATCTTTTCAGAAAGCTATTCTCCTCAGTGGTGTCTGAAAAGCTGCTACCTGACAAATATAGCAGAGTAATCGAATCATGAGCATGCATGTTGCAACCAGACTTTGTGCACTGTTGCATTCCAGGCAAAGATCCTCATGTTAGATGGCACTGGGGAAAAGGAATCCTTTTCCGTGCACTAATATGTGTGCCATTTGCACTTTGAAATAATGGGCCATTGCCTAAAGCAGACTGCTTGCTTGAGGGAAAACATCTGGGGATTCCACAAATGACTGAGCACTGTGCATTTTATCGTGCTGAAAACTGACTGGAAAAGCCTTAGGCTAGAATGCTTTCCTGTGAGCTATTTCTTTCAAACACCCCCATTCCAGAATAGTTTTAATTGCTATGGTGTCCACATAGCAGTTTGTGTGCATACAAACAATTTAGAAAGAGTGTGTTGGTTTATGTGGAATATTGGCAATGCAACTTGCTATGAAGGGAAACAGAAACCGAGTTTGGCTGGAAGGTGCGGGGAGCAATCAGCTTTGGCCCTAGGGCAATGGGAACCTTAAATGCAATGGGAGAGAGGTAGCTGGTTTGGCTGAAAGCAAGAAAGCATGACCTGCTGGAGGGAAAACAGTACAAAGGATATGTATTTTGATGGTCCTAGTATTCTTCAGATGCTAGAGTCATCTAAAAACTAGAGCATGCAATGCAGGTCTGTTTTTGAAATCTTTCCATGTATGTCCATCTTTTTCTGTAACCTTCTCCATAAAAATTGAAGAGCATTAAAAAGATGCAGCTCCCATACAGTTCCAACCTATGTTGTTGTATTTGCAGTAAAAAGCCCAGTTTTTACCTGAAGGTTTCTAGCATTAATTTTAAAGACAGAGATTAGAATCTGGTTGTGTGTTTGCTTGTTTATTTGTTTGAAATTAATTTTGTGCTGAAATGATTATGGTGCGAAAATCTTGATGCTTTTTGGCTTTCTGTTCATCTAGGCCTCTGATCTCGTATATCCGCAAGTTCTACTACTATGACCCCCAGGAGGAGGTGTATCTCTCACTGAAGGAGGCTCAGCTTGTTTCCAAACAGAAGCAAGAGGCAGAGTCTTCAACGTAGTGAGGGACCCCCACCACATCCCTGCCCTGCTGCTGTCCTCAATGGTAACATACATATTGTATGCAAGGGCTAGAGCAGTCTTCCTCAACCCAAGCATGATGGAGGAGTTTAACACATCTGGAGGGTGCCAGGTTGAAGAATACTGGGCTAGAGTATGTTGCTTTAAAAAAAGATTGAAATCTGGGCCTGAATGGTCAAGTTGTCAAGAATGATAAAGCTATAATCCAACAACATCGGGAAGGCCACTGCTTCTTCACCCGGGAAAGAGCAGAAGCATTTAAAATTCATTGTGCATCCTGACATGTCTGTGGTTCTTCTAATTTTTGATGCTCTTTCCAATTTCTCTAGAAATGAATTGCCTTGCAGGACCAGCCCTATCATTAGCCAAAGTGAGGCAGCAGTGACTTTTGGGTGTCATGAAAGGACAGCAAACTAAATGCTATTCTTAGGAAAAGGGGGAATTGTAAACAATGATTTGAAACGATAACAGATTAATCACAGTTTGGTTTGGATGTCACAGCAAACTGGTAAAAGAGAAGCAAATGTTTTTGAACGTTTGTTCATGGTTGCCTTGGGAGAAGGGAGGAAGAACAAATCAAGGGAAAGGTTAGGGTTGTTATCCTAATGCTAAACAAGCCCAATCTTGTTCTAACTATGGTTTAGCATTGCATCTGAATGCTGCCCAAATGTGTTTTATGACGTCTTACATCTTGCTTGCAGCTTTGTTTACTCTGCATTTTTATTTAAGATATATCTACAATCTAAGTAATGCAGCATAGTGTACATCTGCTTATCTTCCATAACTGCTTTGTTGCCTCTTGCTCTGTTTCTTCCACCAGGTAGCTGCCGGCAGCAGCAGCAGACTGAAATCCAGTTTCTTGATTACACTGGAAACTTTTCTCTGAGTCCAGAATTGGTGTCATACAGGCTTCCTTAGGCCCTGCCCCATGTCTTTGCAAGTTCTTCTTCACAGCCTTAGAGACTATAAATATTTTACCCTGTAAAAGTACAGACTTTTGAATTCTATGCTTAGAATCAAACTTCATGCTTATACATCAAGTGCAAAATATGCTCAGAAAAAAAAACTGATGCAATTTTGTCCTAAACTCACACTGTGCTTTTTTTTTCTCTCCCTCCCACCACCTATCTTTCTACATCCCTTCTTTACCTAGAAATTTGGTCACCAGTAACCTGTAGCTATGGAAGCTGCACTGGAGAAGATGCCTGGCATTTGCTCTGTCTGTCTCCAGGCCTCCAGAGAAGGTCCAGGGCTCAATAAGAAGCACAGCTGTGCATGGAAATGGGAGCCTTGACCCCATCTGGTTCCATAAGGAGGTCGGAATTCACTGAAACTGGACTACAAGCTCCTGGAAGGATGGAGAATGTTATTTTTCTTGTTAAATTTCTATTTTTTGTGCCCCCCCCCTCTTCTGGCATGGGAAATTGTGAGCCAATTTTACATTTTGTTTACCTGTTGCCATTTTTGGGATGGGTGGATGGGGGGGGTGCATATCAGTTTTTGAGACTTAATGAGCAAAACTGCATTTTCCATCTATTCTGGTTGGATGCTGCTTTCATAAGTAAGGCCTAAACTCAAGCTGCATTCAACTGTATAAGACTGTTGCACTGGGGAGGGGAAGAGCCAGTGGGGTGGGGGGAGGTCAGAAAATGCGAATTGTGGCTTCCTCATGATTAAGGAGAGCTTGCTGGAGGAGTGTGTGCACGTGTGCAAGTATTGAAAGCTGGTCAAGCAGTGGGAAATTAGCCAGATTGGAAAAAATATGCTGTTGCCTTTGAGTGCAAATGGGACATGGCAGTGGAACAGCTCCACAATGCTACCCAGGCTGTTAGCATTTGGAATCATGGATGGATCTCTCTTGCCTTTCCTCCCACCACCACTGATGCTGGACCTCATCCATGGGCTGGCTGTTGTAACAGTGTCAGTAATCCTATCAGGCAGAGGTAAATGCACACTGGACATCTGATGCCATATGTGATTGCAAATGGGCCTTTCAGCCCATTAACAGCTCCTGACAACTTGCAAACCCAGATGACCTTCTGGACAAGAAGAGTGAAGGCTTGGCAGGTGAAAGGTGATGCCTCTTGGACCATGTAATGTGAGGAAGCATGTATTTTGAAGCACCTTAGCCCCGTCCTGGTGTATGAGGGGGAAAGAATGAGCAAAGGTTTGGAGTAGTCATTCATGATCTCCTACTGTTCTCTTCCCCAGCCTTCCCCCCCACCCCCAAAAACACCTGTAAGATAGAGAAACTATCTTCCAGCCTTATTGGGACATCTGTTCAATACTTCAACAAAGTAATATTGTGTACTATTGTTCACTGCAACAGCAAGATTAGGATTTTGTAATAGAAAAAAACAAACCAACCCACAACTATTTAGAAGTGATTGTGGCATCTAAGAGGTAACTCTCCCTTTTTGTGTGTGCTAAAGCCTCTTCCATCCCTTGCTGGAGGTACGTGACATACGTTTGTTTGTGATACTTTTTTGAAAACTGTGAGATCTTAACTTATTATTTAATTTATTATAATTGCTGTTGTTTGTTAAGCTTGTTCCATATTATGTGATCAATCTTACTCTGCTGCATCTTTTATTTCCATTTTGTATACTAGATACAGCAAACTGAGGTTTTATAGTCAATGAGACACTATTTGAAAATTTTCTTAAGAAATAAGAGGATAAGCAGAAGGTCATCTTCTAAAGTTAAGTCTTGAAAAAACTTGATTGCATCTTTTTTTAATGAGCAGCTCTAAGCTAGGCCTCTGTTTCTCCCATTATTGCTTCATGATTTCAACATGTATAACACTTGCTCTCAAATCTCTTTTGTCCTTGTTTTGTTCCAAAACACATTTCTGAATTGACTTCATATTTACTGTCACATCATCCATCTGTGCTTCACTCTACGCAAAAGATTCTCTTCTGTTGCCCATCTTTGTATGTTTTTTCCTGTTTATGAAATAAGTGACTTGAAAATGCACTGATCTACTGAAATCGAACCCTTCCCTGATGGTCTGTCATCTCGCAACAGTTCTCACAGCAGCTGAGATGCTTGTGTTAGACATGAGCCAGTGAAGGCGTTGGGTGTGTCCAATGGTAGCGGTGATATTAGGGAAAACGGTGTCCTTGAAACTTTTCTGACACACTGGAAATCAAGTCGCAGCCCTCTGCTGCAATTCATGAGGCTTTGGTGGCACCGAAGTTGCGCATCAAAGTAGCAGCAAAGAAAGCATTACTGAAAGGACTTGCAAACTTAAATCTGAAGAAGTTCTTGAACAAGCGATTATTCTCCTGGGTGTGCATTTTTAAATTTAACAATCCACTTGGAAGAACAATCTGTTTTACCCCAATTAGCATGGTTTAGAGCTTGTGTGTGGTTGTAAGGGAGAATTTAAAGACACTGGAATTTAGTTAAGAATGACAAGATTCAAGGGGGATAAAGGGGATTCAAGATTTTGCTCTTGTCTGGACAAGAAATCTGTTGGAGGCTCTTTGGTGAACAGTTTCAAGGGCCTTGGATTGTGTATACCTTGTTCTTAACCTCATCTCATCATATTCACCTTCTTTACCTCACGTAAAATGGCAAGCTTTCAAATATGTTGTGGACTGGGAGATTTATTTATTTCCCTTTCTTTGTGCTTGGTTCGAATAAGAGGTGAGACCAAAAGTCCCACAAAGCTAAGGCCTGCACTTTGCAGCAGTGGTGGGGAAATACTTCTAAAATCTGGTTCAAACACGCACAAACCTTACCCCAGTGATGGGCACTGAGTGTCTGCTATTGGTCGATCATTTTGTTGAACTGAACACCTTTAGAGCTCCCTTGCCTGACTACCACGTAGCAAAGGCTGATCATGTGTAAATAATGTAAAGAAAGTCCCTTGGCTTTCTTGGCTGCTGTTGTGTCCACATTAGGTCTGTTACAATGGCTTTCCTGTTAAAGGAACTTCTTTATTTTTGTTTGTTAATTCCTCCCTTGTGGGGCTGTTCAATGAGTTCTCTTTTTGAAATGTGTGAATGGTTGTGGATGAGTGTTACACAACAAGAATTAAATTCTGCACTCTTTTCCCCCCTCTGCCTCTGGCTGAACCGTTGCTTTGACATTTCCTGATGAGGCATCTGTTACTCTTTGTAGTAATAGCTAGGGATCAGTGAGACCAGTGGTTAACCCAGAATAAGCTGATGCTTTTTGAAATCCCTTTAGAATCAACTGCCCATTTTCTTTTTGTAGTTCTTAATTTTATTTTCATTTATTTTATGCAGGCTAGGTTTGGGAGCTTCCCAACAAATTGTTTCCAAATAGACCTTAAACACCCAAGGAATCCCTTACTTCCACAAGGGATGCTCTTCTTCCCTGCAATATTCTGGAATAGGAAGTAAGTTGTAAATATTTTGTTCTGCTTCTGGACAGTAATTTCTCTCAATCTGATTAGAATTTGGCAAGGGTAGGAGCCTAGTTAGCTTTAACTGTGAGAGCAAGAGCATGCCTATAAGGATCTGATGTAAGCCTTTGCTAGGATGAAAAATGGATAAGGAGGGATTTGCTCTTGAGTGAGCAGCTTTTGAATCCTGTTCCAAAATACAGAAATTTTCTCATTTGAGCTTTCAGAACCATAGCAGCAAACTTTTTGTTTTCTGGAGTCAAATGTCGAACCTCTTTTTTATGAGGTGGGGTACAGATGCAGCTTGTAATGGCCTTGCTCTTAATTGCTTTGGGATTTTTTTCTAACTTAGGTGCTAACTTGAGGCTAAAATGAGCAGGCAATGTTTCACAATTCAGTGCATTTTTAAAAGATGCTCAAAGGTGGATTTTGGATATTAGCCCTCAGCCAAATCTTGCAGATCATTGTGATGCTCCCTTCTATTCTGCCCAGACCCTTGATATCTCTCAAGAACAGCAAGAAACCATGTGCACTGCAGAATTAATTATTTATATTAACTGCCTAAAAGAGCTAGGTACTGTAATAAAGTTCCTCGGAAGAGCACTTGATGGGAGGATTCCATGCTTTTTTGAAAAGGGGACGTCCCCTGTGGGATGTCCAAATGCAATGGGTTAAAAAAACATATCCATAGGAATTATGGAATATCTAAATGGCATAAATACTTATCTGGCCATGAGAACGAGTCACAGAAAACTAAGATGACTTTTTAAAAAATCAGTTATGTAAGAGTTTCACAGTTACCTGCATCATGCACAGTGAAAATATGCAGATGGCATCACCTTTTGGTCTTGCTAGACTGGTTCTTAATTGTCTCTCAGCTACCTCCAACTATAATATGTTTGGGAGTGGAGGGTTCCCAGAATCCCTTTACTTAAGGGGATTCAAGTTCTGATCCAGTAAGGATAGCTGGATCACTGAATACATACTGGGGTTTCAAGCTGTTTGCATTTTTTCCAAACTTCGGATTCATGCTGCTTCACTTATTCCCAACTCTGGCAACTGCCCCATCCCCCCCTCGCTCTGCAAGCTGCGCACAGCCCTTTAGCTATGTATTCTGTGAACTGCTGTTACTTGACAAGGCTTGGGAATCCCTATGTTAGTGCAGTAGACCCAGGAAGATGATAAAACCTGCAAGCTGTAAATGCCTTGGCTTTTACTACAAGACTTGACCAATTAGCTTTGTTTAGCTTGTTACATTGACAGGAAACAAATCCTTCATAAGTTTATGGAGTAATGAATCTGACCATGTCAGAGCAAATGTAATCTGATCTAGGCAATTTCACTTCTTTAAAGTACTACAAGAGCTCTTTCAGAGATCTACCTATTTGATGAAATAACACTTAAGTTGATTTTTTTTACTTAAAAAATGGTTCCAAAACTAACACACATACAAAAATGCACATTTTATTGATAGAGTGTAGATCAATTATTGGGAACTTGTTACAGCTTTTCCAGGGATGCATGTGCTACAAAACTGACAACTCCATTTGATTAGAGAAAGTGGGTGAGAGACAAAACATTGGATGTGCATATGCCTCAGTGAAAGCTAGTATATGTAGGCAGCTTCAGATTTCTGTGTGACTCAAAAGCCTGCACATTCTTCCAAGTGTTTTTCGTAAGATACAGCATTAGAAGGTGGGGTTTCAGGCTTATTTTGCTGGGTGTGTGCTGTGTGAGAGAGAAAGTGAGTTTAAATTATTAAATCAGCTGCTGTAATTTATTTTTAAACAATATAAAATGTAAACAGAGCAAAATTCAGACTTTCAGGTCATTAGTTTTCTTTCTGGAGGTGGAGGAGGAATGAAAATATGTTTTATATGAAGATAAATGCACTTTGAGTGTGTTTAGGCATTTTGTGGAAGGGATCAGGCTATTTTATGGACTGGATTCTGTATGGCCTTGTCTGTATATATTGTATCAATAGGCACGTTTTTGGTTTCTCATTTGGAAGCATTTGTAACTACTGCAGGTTTCTGTCTGGAAAATGGATGTACTGAACAATTTTGCCTCAACATTGGGGTGGAAGGCGCTTTTTTCCCCCTTTCCCTTTTTGGGTAAATTTGTCAACTACGGAAGAGAACTTTGCCTCTCTCTCCTGTTTGTATCTCATTTCTATTGTGGGTTGTTTTTTTGTTCTTTTGGCCTATGGGTGGATGTTTCACAGGGTTGGTGGGGGGTTTGAAATAAAATACTTAAATGGTCCATTTTCACGTGTTCTGTCTTATTTTGATGGGGAGGAAAACTCCCACAGATTAATTTAACATTTCCTCTTAATCCTTCAAGTGTCTTCCAGATGAAGGGGCACTGTGCAGCCATGCCATCTTTTTCTTCTTAATGGATTTTATCTGGTAAGAAAAATGCTGGAAGTAGTGATGGGAAAACAACCACAGCAGTGATCTGAGCGGATGACAGTGATGTCTGGGCCTCTTGTAAGCTGCTGTGAATGAGGCAGGGCTGTGATTCAAAAAAGGTCTCACCTGGAAGTAGCTGTGGGTGACTGGGAAAAAGAGGGGAGAAGACTGAATTCTGCGCAACCTGTTTGCAATAAGAGAAGTCACTCAGCAGCCTGCAGATGAATACAGTAATGCTGGATTATATGCAGAAATCTCCCCTGCACAGCTCCTAAAAACAACATCCTGCATGTAAGCAAGCTAAAGTAAAGCTGGAGGCTACCTCCTTTCTCTGCTGGCATTCACTGTGGACAACTTTCTCCATAATAAAGAAGGCTATGCAAAGAGATCCATGCTGCTGTGCCTTTGTGCCACCTTGTGTCTATCATGTGGTACTACAACAATTTAGCCTGAACTTGCTAATCATATCTGTCTATATACCATTAGCAGAACACCTTTATTATGACCAAAGATAAATGGAACATGAGAAAGCTTTGATTCAGGAGCTCTGCCTTTTTTAAAAAAAACCCTGAAAACCTTGAAGATCAGAGAAGTGGAACCAGCTGAGGTGGTGTGTTTAACCATTTCCTCAATTTAAATATTGATTAGGTTAGAAAATGCCTCTGGTTACCATAACATGCAGATACATCCTGTGTGACATGGGTTGCAAGGATGGCAATCAGTCTAAAAAGCTGTCTTTTATAGGCAGGATGCAGCACTGGATATGTATAGGAATGTGTAATTACAACATGTTTTGCAGGTTTGCTGTGGTATTTTGCAACTGCTGTTTCCCTTATTGTTTTAAGAATATCTGTAGCCATCTGATTGCATGTTCTTGGGAAGCTGAGTCTTCCCTCCCATGTTACGTGGGCTGCAGGTTCCGTCTTTCTGCTAGCCTTCTCCTGTGCATTGGCTCACTGCTTTGAGTTATGCACAGCTACTTCCTTTTGAGCCACCTCTCCTATGGTGCATCTGTTCTCTGCTTGTGGTCAGCTTTATACAGGTAGATCAATGACTAATGGCTTGTTTAGCAAGTGGCCCTGGTAAAAGCAGCTTGTGTGCTTTGTCCAGGATAGAAATATGTTGTGTAACAGCTGAAATGTTTATTTTCAATGTGGGGAGATAATAGTATTCCCTTTTTTATTCTGAGTAGCTCCAGATCCAGCCTGTAACCCTCATGAGCTGCTCAATCTAATATGCATATTAGCAGATCCCTTCTCACACCGTTTTATCTTGGGACTCTGAATGTGCAGAAATAGTGACTTCACTCTCAAGTCACTTTTTTTTGTAACCACCTTTCTGCAGCCCCTGTTGCCAAATTTCCTTTTTGGAAAGGAAGGTTAAAAGAACTAGTTATTTCAATAGCTTGTCCAGTTTTTTGATTGGTCTGTTAGAAGTCAATCAAGAGATCGCAAAGTTCACAAAATTTGTGAGACTAATATAGGTATCAGCATATTTAACAGTGGGTTGAAGTAGACTTTCCACTGTCAGAGTTGAAAGCCCTGGTCTTTCAAATGGATCCTATAAATACTTTGCTGCAAGTAGTTTAATTGGCTTCCCTTTCACTGAAGGCCCATAGCAGAGAGACCTCTTCATGCTTGATAAAGTGGCAAACCTAGAAGTACCCTTGCCATCAACCAACAGTTGGTTCTGTCATTCTTATATATGTTGTATGTTCACAAACCCAGCCTTGTGCCTACTTAGTTACATTTTAAGAAAATTCTGGATAATACTTAAGTGTACTGTGCATTTGAAAATGTGCTGTGTGAATTCCCCCTAAGCTCTTTCCGAGAAACTGGATTCTGTATGGGTAGTGGAGCAAAGTTCATATTGCTCTCATGTGAATAAGTTCAGCACTCTGACTTGCATCTTACAATAAGCCAAATAGTTTCCTCCAATAGCAGAATTGTTGTTGGCCTCCTTTTCTCAGTGCTAAATTAACATCCTTTTGAACTCCTACAAGGATGTGACAGATTAAAAACTGAAACTGAGACAGAATGAGGATAGTTTGATCTTGGATGACTCTCCATGTACCTGTGCAAACATCTGTCAGCCACTCAGAAATGGAATGAATCTCTGCCTTTTATGGGAGTCTGAAATCAGGTTGGAAGAGTTAAATTATTTATAGCACTCTTTCTATAGCTCAGCCTTTTTCTTGAATATTCTGTTTTGCTCAGGAAGTACTATTATTTCTATTTTCTGAATTTTGTTCCCTGGCCTTCACAAGGTAAGGAGCACTTATTAGGTAGCCTTGGACAAACTTGTCTCTGTGTAAGTTCCTATTTGCAATACAAATTTGATAATACAGACTTCCTTTACAGGGTTGTTATCAGGATTACAGTTAGTTAATGCATGTGAAACACTTTGAACTTGTAAAAGTGCTGTGCTAATATGTACTACTACTGATAGATGTGGAACCTTCAGACAAAACATTGCAGTAGAGGTGCTTCCATTTAGGCTTGAGGGATTCCAGTCCCCCCCCCTTTTTTTTTTTTTTTTGAGATGGTGTGGAGTGGACACAGTAGTGCCTGATTCCAATTACACTGAAATGTTTAATTTCTCCATTGATTCCTATGGGCAACTCTCACTCCTGTTCCTGTATTCATATTATTTCAATTTACTTTTATTATACAATTTCAACCAAAGAAAAAGAAAAGAGTAGCTACATAAAATTTAATATAATAGTTTCAATTTATACATACAAACTATGTGTATTCATGAATGTGTGTTTCTAAGAAGTCTGTTTCCAAGAACTTCAGCCAAAACAGACCAAATAGTCAGATGAGCATCTGTTTGCAGGTGATATCTATTAATAAAAATCTATTAATACAAATTTTTAAAATCCTAGGTTGAAGCCTATTATATCTTCCATTAGAAGGGCCTTGAAGAGCGAAACTGTAGAAGTCCTTCACCTGAAACCTTGGAAGGTCAAAGCATGTGGAATTTGAGGGCCACTTGCTAGTACCCAAAAAGCCATGCTATCTCTTGATTGGTGACAGTGTTCCGTTGCATTTACGTCCCACCTTTTTAATGTTGTGAGAAAACCACATGTGTTTAAATCAGACTGAAATTGGACAGCTTTTCAAAAAGTGGACACTGTTCTCTGAGAAGCAGGACACATGGCCACCCAGGTGGGGATCATTTATTTATTTATATGTATATCTTGCTTTTTTTCTTTCCTAAAAAACTCAAAGCAGCTGATACAATTCTCCGGCTCTCAATCTTATCCCTTCAGCAACAACCCTGTGAGGTAGGTATGGCTGAGAGTCTGTGACTGGCCCAGATCGCCTGAGTCTCAGTCCTGCCCTCTTAACCAGTATACCACACTGGCTCTCAAAAATAGTAAACACTTATACACATAGACAATACCAATGGTTTGACTTCATATAAAACAGTGTCCTATCTACCTATGTTAAGCTTCTGTAGTTGAACTAGGAGTCTCAATTTCCCATCAGCTTCTTCTCTGGCTGAGTCCACCTTCCCTTCAGTAGTGTAACAACATCAGGACAACATTATTCAATGTAGTTGCTCTATGATGGTCTAAAGCTAGGTAGGTAAAAAAAAAAAACCCCACAAGCAGAAGCAGTAGAGATTGCCTAAAAGGTGGCAGGTAACAACAGTTCAGGAGATGAGGATCTGGTCATTCCCTTTATTTGCTTCTCTGTGTGTCCCTTACTAACTACACACAGAGAGACTCAGTGGGCAGTGAAGGGGTTATTGAAATCTACTTCCAACTCTGCTCTGACTCTGGGCTTTCAGGCAAACAAAGAAGATCACGAGATGTAATGGCGAAAGCCACTCCAGGCTTGGGAAATGCAGTCTGGTGGGCAGAACTTTGAAAGAAACACTTTGTTCCCACCACCACCACCATAAATGTTCATCTAGGGAAATGGGGAGTGAAGCAGCTGTGCTATCTACTGTGTTCTGAGACAGTGTATGCACAGTGAAACAACCGGATTGTAAGAAAAGCTGTGTTGGATTAGACATTGAGGGTCTGTTCATTGTTGCTCTAGTTTATAGCACCAGAACAGGAGAAGGCATAAACTAATTTGGGATATACAAGTAGACAGGTGGGTGATTTGCAGTATATTGGCAAAGTTTTCTAGCTCTAATTATCTAACATGAGCAACAAAACAAATGAGTTAAATTTGCTTTTTGTTCCAAGTAGCAATTGTTACATGATGGTTTTGTGTTGTGAGTGTTCAGCCATAAAATACATAGGCAGTAAAAGCTAAATTAACAATCACCAATTAACAAATAGTCATTGCTCAAAGCCTGGATCATTACAACATAGAAGTCACTAAGGCTTATTTTAGGGCAGAGGTGGACAGAAAGTACATCTCAAGACGTTTTGGACCACCTCTCCTGAAAAGCTCCTGCCAGTATGGCCAGTGTTTAAGAACACCAGGAGTTGAAGTAAAAAACACCGAAGAGATGTTTTTTCTGCTAGCCCGTCTTCTAGGGCATAGACTTGATGGGAGGCACTGACTAGGGCTGAATCCAGCTTTAGGTGTGTGAAGCTGCACTAATAAAGCAGACTTCCCTGCAGAGCAGCCTTCTGAAAATGCTGCAGAGAAGGTCAGGGGCCCTGAAGTGTGCTGTGTTGTGTGTATTGAGTGAATGTCCATAAATGGAGTCCTTTTGCCCCTGGAAGGCAGATCCTGGATTTGACCCAATATTTATTGCACCAAATGTACCTTGTAATTGCACAAGGATTGAGCATGCATCCCTTGAACATCCCCTCCCCCCCCAGTCTCCAGTTTTGATCTCTGATCTAGCAGTTGCTCCTTGCTTTGGGAAGCATGCTAGAAT